GTGACGAGTGACGACGCATCTGCATTTTGATTCTTTATTGAAGATAATGTCTATGGGTCACAGCAACCACTTACTGTGTGCTCGTTTGTCACCCTATCATATAAAAAAAAGATATAAATCCGTTAATCTTTTAGAAATAACTGGAGGCCTATGCCCAGTAGGGAGACGCATATGAGCACCTTGTGCAACAAATGCATTTGCATTGTCGTGGCAGTCGGAAGAAGCAACTGAGTATTGTAATCTCATATTTTAGAACAATAAAAAACTTCGTTAACCAACCCGCCTGGCAAGCTTTACAACTATAGCAAATATTTTCCTTAAGAGGCAATCTGTGAGGGTTATAATAATAATTAAGATAAACAAATGTATATATTAAGGCTTAATAATTGATAAAATTATTGTATTAGGCTTAAAGAGAACAAACCTTTTTATTCTTATCTAATATGTACATATAAAATAGAATTTATTGTTGTAGTAACATTGAATTACAATTATTTATTCTCCATTAATTCATATAAATATGGTAATCATTATTAGTGGCGTAGGCGTGGGATCAAATAACCCAAGTCCGTCTTTGAATGTAAGTTATCGTCCCGCCTTTATAGTGTTAATAGATTTTAGGATTACTTTTTGAAATACTACGTTTCTTTTATTTGTTTTAAGGATCGCTCATTGGCCTTATTATGATAGTAGTTGTCCTGACGTTATTCTAGCATTTGTGACATTCCATACTATTTACAATGTAAATATAAAATTTATTATACCTCAATTACAGCACAACCTATCAAATCCAGATTTTGTGATAAACTTTTGTAGCATTAACCAACTTAATTGCATATGTGAGTCATTTATAACAGTATATCATTATTTATATCTCTTTGAAAAAACCCCGTATAATAATAATGTCCATTGCAAAAAAATATTGTGTGAATATGACTTCAATCGGTCAATTCATTCAGAAGTTACACGACCACTAATGGACGCTATGTAAAGCAAGTCTTAAAAAATACATACAGACTGCACTCTAGTTACAGACAATCACAACATGTGCCGTACCATAAGTTATTTATCTCTATAAATAGAAATTAATTTCTGTTTTTTTTTTTTATAGAAGAGAAGGTAACCGGCATGCTGCTCAACTGATAGTAAGTGTCAACCGCTGCTCATGAAAAACTGCAACACACGGAGATTTGTAGGTGCGTTGTCGGCCTTTTAGAAACGAGTAAGCTCTTTTCTTGAAGGTCTTGAAGGTTGTTGTCGGTTAGTCTCGAAAAAACTCGAAAATGACTCGATCGATTTTGATGAATTCTTTCGTGTGTATTTGAGTGGGTTCCTGAATGATTTAATAACTCAATTATACCCGGTAGGTGGCGCTGTTGTCGAGATTCAGAAACCACCCGTGCAAAGCCGAGGTGAATCTCTAGTATAATATAAAATACCAAAAAAAAACCTAGTTAAATTTTAGAACAGTGGCCTTGACAATCGCCGTATTAAAAAAAATAAGTTCGTTAGAAACCTGCGATATTAAGTGCTGATTTAATTCGTGCTCGGCAGAGAAGAGTAACATTTTGAAGTAACCTGTATGTCTGATATACAGGGTTATTTTTCAAAGAGTAGCCAAATTTTAAACTTAAGTTCAAATATATAAATAATGATAAACTGATAATGCAGTTATTGAAACTACGAGTAAATAAGGTTTCTACTTTTATTTGAAATTTTTCCATTTTGAACGTGATTTATGGGCAACAACATTTTGCCTACCGATCGACCCTTACGAATGTGAAATTAAATTGATTCATTGTTTTCGCGTTTCTTAAGAGCAAAATTTGATACTACTTAACATTATAAAAACAACTAAAAATGAACCACTCTATGAGATTTATAATATTTTATAACATATGCTACAGAACTAAATCTGCTAGATTAGATAATTTATGGAGAGTCCGTGTTGAATCTGATAAACTCTTGCTCATTTAAAAGCACATTGGTATTCCAGTGGATTTTACGAGTACGTGGTAGAGACATGCTGCAGATATATTATGGTTGTAGCACGAATGGGTCCGCTTGACCGGGACGGATCACGCTCTCACAGAATACTAGCTTAATGCTGATGTGTTTCGTATGGTGAGTGTAGAGAACCGGAGACTTTTTTCATTGGAAAGCAGTCATTCCATCTAAGTTATCAGGGGTGACTACGCATCTGCGTTTCGATTCTTAATTGAGGATACATGTAGATGTTTATAAGCCACAGCATCCACTTACCATCAGGTGGACTGTGTGCTCGCTTGTCACCCTAATTCAATAAAATAAATGTGTTTAACATTTGGTGATCTAAATTTTTGACATAAGCGAAATGTTCGTGCTAATTGTTATCACTTATATGCTCCGGTCACGTGGTCTATTCGCACTCATAGCTAGCAATCTAACTGATCAGCACTGACCCGGCCGACCTCATTTGCGTGAGAACTCGCGAGGAAGTGACGAACCAGAAGGGACTGCTACTCACTATTGTATGATTCACTTCACTAATGTAGATTCTACCAGTAAACCGATGTCTTGTTTCTCTACCATGAAGTTCAGACTGATCGTTAAAAGTTTAATCGCACGAAAACAGATATAAATAATATAAATGTTTGATATAGAATTTAAATTAAAGAACTATCACATCGTACTTTTTATGCAGTTCTTTTACTGTAGGACTGTGATAACAGTGATTTTAAAAAGTAAAATTTAAGCCGTCGGATCATACTGTATCATCTTCATTTTAATTCAATATGGAAATAGACATACATACAATATAAAAAAAAACTATAATAAAAAAAGTAAAACTAATAACTTAAATTACCATACCGTCCTGCTCTCCGTGGTATCGTGCCAAGAAAGCTGGCTGTTCGCTGAATGGCTATACTTAGCCTTTGAACGAGAAAATACCAGCCCTCTTTTCACCAGCAGCAATGAACAGTTGCGGATAGAGTTCCTTTAGAAATTTTATTGAATGTTTAAATTTTTGTGTTTTTATTAATTGTAATTTTTGTTTGTTTTAACTAACTTTAGTAAGTAGTTAAGCAACTAAAGAAATTGACTTAAGTAGTAACTTTAGTTACTTTATATGAACCGAAAAAAATCTTTTGTATTTTAAATCAGTCTCAAATTTCTAAAAAATCTGATGTTAATGTATTGTAGAACTATTTATATAAAATCCAACCCCAGATTTAATTGTATAAGCACTGTCTAAGAAAATATTTTACTTATTGTAAATATAAGGAGCTATAATGTTGGGCACTCGTTGCAACAAGATTTATAAAGAACATAACGGAAGGAAAGACAAAGAGAAGAAAATGTAGACCAAACTTGAGATATACAGATTAGTTAAAAGAGAAATATGGTGTTTAACAGCGAATTAAAGAGTTTGGCAGAAAGGCAAGATGACTGGCTATCACTCCTCCAACAAGAACGAAGCTCTTAAATTAAAAAAAACAACACTGTCCGCGTAATTTGTTACCATTGTTAGCTCGGCTAGAATTTGTGTCTGTGGCTAGAGGCTTAGTAGGTATTCTACCACTTAGTCAAGTTTATCAATCTGTTACACATTCCATCGAATCAGCTACTTCTGTTATAGCATCATACTGTGAATGATATCAACTATTCAACACAATACCAGCACGCTCGCAATCTCACGTACGTATTTACATTTCCCATTCGAGTTCGCACCATCTTCCGATCTGCTGGCTACGACGCGTGAGAAACTCTTGCCGTAAATGGAGCACCGATAATGTCGCTGAGTAATCGACGTGCAGTGACTCCCGGGTCATTAACATTTGCCCGTATAAATGCCGAGTTAATCGAATTACAACGCACTACTCACGTTACAAGGATTGGGTCCTCGTTGTAAGATTAGTAACGTAAAAGTTAGTAAAGTTACGTCAATTTTTATACGTGGTAGAGCCACACTACAGCTATATTAGTAGTATATATGTAGCACGACTGGGTCGGCTCGACCGGGGAAGAACCACGCTCTCACAGAATACCAGCGTAAGATAGCAGCTTAACACTGCTGTGTTTCGTATGGTGAGTGTAGAGAACCGGAGACCCTTTCTACTAGAAAAGAGGCATTCCATCTTAGTCCTCACGGGTGACAACGCATCTGCATTTTGATTCGCAGACGAGGATAAATGTAAATGTCTATGGGCCACAGAAACCACTTACCTTCAGGTGGACTGTGTGCTCTTTTGTCACCCTATCCTATAAAAAAATACGGGACACAAGCCTCTTATTATCACCCTCATAGAGTTATGGGTCATTTAGACCACAGCGATGATTCAGTGTGTTGGCTTCACATGCCATTTTTATAGAACAGGGGGCAAACAAGCATGCGGCTCACCTCTTGGTCAATTCTTTTATAATAAAATATAATATTATCAATGCTAATATTCCCTGTAACCACTCCTCGCAAGCTTAAAATGCTTGTATTAGGAGTGGTTCACGATAGTAGTTGAATGGCGGATTCGAACCCAGAACTTTACGAGTTCATGTTCCGCACCCAGCCTGCCTGCCTGTCGCTTCGTCGTTTGTCAATGACTAATGACTGTCTTCGATAAATTTTTCCCTTTAGGAAACAATATTAAAAATTACAATTTTAATTCAATAATTCATATTAATTCTTAAGAACCAGAAAGAATTACTAAAAAAAATTCGTAGTTAATAAATACTAAAATATTTTCAGTACTATACGTTTCACATAATATTAACAAACACGAACTAATACACACCTAACCTACAATATATAAATATATACTGTATGCATTTTATTTATTTTTACAGTGGTATTTGACAGTGGTAGAGCCAAGCGGTAGCTTTTGCTGTCGCACGGATGGGCCAGCTCGAACCGGGGTGGTACCACGACCTCACAGAATACCAGCGTGAAGTAGAGGTTTACCTCTGCGTTGCGTTTGGTGAGTGCAGGTGGCCGGAGGCCCAATTCCCCCCCCCCCCCCATCAACATGGTAGTGGAATTAAATACAAGACTACCCCAGGAGGGTACCAGCAACCCTGGAGAATCCCTCGCTGAGCATCCACGAACAAACTACTTCACTCCTGAGCGTGGGTGCTCAGGCTGCCCCGCGTATTCTGGGGGGGGCAAAATTCCGCTCGTGACTAATGCTGCTCGGGGCAAGCGGAGCAATACAACCAAGGCGACCCCTGTCACGCTATCCGTGAATTTTTGCAACATCAGGGGACTTCATTCCAACCTTAACGCTGTCCATTACCATCTAGAGACGGCGAAGCCGGCCTTGCTCTTTTTAACCGAGACTCAGGTGTCCTCTCCGGCTGATACTTCATATCTCTCCTACCCGGGGTACAAATTGGAACACTCCTTTGTGCCCCGGGCTGGAGTTTGTGTATACGTCAGAGAGGACATCTGTTTTCGACGCCTCGGCAGCCTTGAAGGTACGGACCTGTCCATCCTATGGCTGCGCGTAGACAGCGACGACCATCCCCGCGTCTACGGGTGCCTCTATAGGTCCCATAGCGGTAATGCCGACACAGACCGACTCATCGACCACGTCCAAATGGCTGCAGACTCCGTGCTACAACAGGTCCTATCCGCAGAGATCGTGATACTCGGTGATTTCAACGCCCACCACGCTGAATGGCTTGGTTCTCGTTCAACCGATCATGCGGGTAGATCTGTCTACGACTTTGCTTTGGCATATGGTCTAACACAACTGGTTACTTCGCCTACGCGGATCCCAGATGTGGAAGACCATGTACCTTCCCTGTTGTACCTTCTGCTGACCTCTCATCCGGACGGATATCAGGTCTCCGTCGATGCCCCTCTGGGCTCTTCGGACCATTGTCTGATCCGGAGCACAGTGCCACTCACGCTCCAATCGCAGTTGCGATCTACAGCTTGCCGCCGTGTTTGGCACTATAGGTCAGCTGATTGGGACGGGATGCGGTCTTTTTTTGCATCCTACCCTTGGGGGCGGGTTTGCTTCTCGCCGGAAGATCCCAGCGTTGTTGCCGATTCTGTTGCTGATGTGGTACTTCAGGGTATGGAACTTTTTATTCCATCCTCTGTGGTGCCCATCGGAGGCAGATCCCAGCCATGGTTTGGTCGCTCCTGTAAAATAGCATCACGCTATAAGCAGGAGTGCTACCGGGCCTGGGCTGACGCATCAACGTCTCGGGATTTAAACACCAGCGCACTTAAAAAGAAGTATAATTCCGCCTCCAGGTCCTTCAAAAGCGTCATTGCTAAGGCAAGGTCTGAGCACATCGGCAGAATTGGCGAGAAGCTAGTTCGCCTTCCTTCGGGAACCCGTGCATTCTGGTCTCTCGCCAAGGCTGTCCAAGGGAACTTCTGTCAGCCATCCCTCCCATCTCTGCACAGAGAGGACGACTCACTGGCCCATGCCGCAAAAGAGAAAGCCGATCTGTTGTGCTCTCTTTTTGCGTCCAACTCGACTCTAGATGACGGGGGGAACACACCGCCGACCATCCCGCGATGTGAGTGCTCCATGCCGGATGTGCGATTTACACAGCGCTCGGTTCGCAAAGCACTTTTCTCCCTGGACGTCAGCAAGTCGAGTGGGCCCGATGGAGTCCCTCCCATTGTGCTGAAGACGTGTGCTCCGGAGTTGGCACCGGTTTTAACGCGTCTTTTCCGGTACTCCTACTCCCAAGGCGTAGTCCCGAATTCATGGAAGACAGCTTTGGTCCACCCGATCCCTAAAAAAGGCGACCGCTCAGACCCGTCCAACTACAGGCCTATCGCCATCACCTCCTTGTTCTCCAAAATAATGGAATCCATTATAAACTGCCAGCTCATGAGGTACCTTGAGGATCACCAGCTGATCAGTGACCGTCAGTACGGTTTTCGTCGGGGTCGATCAGCAGGTGATCTTTTAGTTTACTTAACTCATAGATGGGCGGAGGCAGTAGAGTCCAAGGGGGAGGCATTGGCCGTTAGTTTGGACATAGCGAAGGCCTTCGATCGGGTCTGGCACAAGGCGCTTCTTTCGAAGCTTCCTTCCTATGGGCTTCCTGAGAAATTGTGCAAATGGATCACCAGTTTCCTTGCTGATCGGAGCATCAAGGTCGTAGTAGACGGTGCATGCTCTGATTACAAGCCTATCAACGCTGGTGTTCCACAAGGCTGCGTGCTATCACCAACGCTGTTTCTCCTGCATATCAATGATATGTTGCTAACTGGTAGCATTCATTGCTATGCAGACGACAGCACTGGGGATGCCTTATATACCGGCCGTGCCAATATTTCTCGGGAAAACGTCGCCGAGTACCGGGACAAACTTGTGTCTGAAGTCGAGTCTTTGCTTAACAAAGTCTCGGATTGGGGCCGACTAAATCTAGTCCAGTTCAATCCCCAGAAGACACAAGTTTGCGCGTTTACCGCTAAAAAGAACCCCTTTGTCGTATCTCCTCAGTTTCAAGGCACTCCCCTTGCTGCCTCAGCCAGTATCGGAATCCTTGGCGTCGACATATCGAATAGCGTGCAGTTTCGTGGTCACTTGGAAGGGAAGGCCAAATTGGCCTCTAAAAAGCTTGGCGTGCTCAGCAGAGCGAGACAGTATTTCATGCCGGCACATCGCTTGCAACTTTACAAAGCGCAAGTTCGGCCTCACATGGAATACTGTTCTCATCTCTGGGCCGGGGCACCCCAGTGCCAGCTCCTTCCACTTGACCGCATCCAGCGCAGAGCGATTCGAATCGTCGACGACCGAGTTCTTTCCGATCGGCTCGATACACTGGCACTGCGTAGAGATGTTGCATCTCTTTGCGTATTTTATCGCATCTATCACGGGGAGTGCTCTGAGGAATTGTTCGGACTAATTCCAGCCGCTCAATTTCACCATCGCACGTCGCGACAAAACTCGCGTTACCATCCATACCATCTGGATGATTGGCGGTCCACCACTGTGCGATTTAGAAGAAGTTTTCTCCCTCGCACAACTTCTTTGTGGAATCAATTACCACCAGCGAATTTTCCGAACCGATACGACTTAGGAACCTTCAAGAAAAGAGCTTACACCTTTCTAAAAGGCCGGCAACGCATCTGCAATTCCCCTGGTGTTGCGGTTGTTCATGGGCGGCGGTAGTCACTTAACATCAGGTGAGCCGCATGCTCGTTTGCCCCCTATTCTATAAAAAAAAAAAAAAAAAAAAAATATATGGACATAATTCATATATAATATAATGCATACATTAGATATTTTCATAATACGTATGAAATGTTGTTTTGTTTCATATTTATTTACTATAATTTACATTTCTTTTATCAATTTATAAACTTACTTCATTTCATCCCTGTATCACCCGAAGATTGACTCCTAGAGAAAGTCACGGGCGTTAAATCAACATACATCATAAAATACATATATATACACCATAAATATATAAAGGTAAAAAAATAACTTAAAAAAAGTCTACCTGAAGGGGGTTTTTAGACCGATGAAAGTGATGGAGTATGAGTGAAGTAATATATACATGATTAATTTTTCTTCATCATCATCACTGTCATTACAGCCCTTCACAAGTCCACTGCTGAACATAGGCCTCCCCCAAGGAATGCCACAAAACACGGTCCTAAGCCACCTCCGTCCATCGACTTCCTGCATGTCTTACCAGGTCGTCACTCCATCTAATGGTACGGCGCTGCCACTCGAGAACCTTTTTTCCACATCGGTTGTTTGTTCTACGTGCTATATGGCCGGCCCATTGCCACTTCAGCATAATAATCCGTTGGGCTATGTCGGTCACTCTGGTTCTACTGCGGATATCCTCATTTCTAAGTTTATCACGCAGAGAAACTCCGAGCATAGCCCTCCCCATAGCTCGCTGAGCGACCTTGACCTTCCTCATCCGGCCAGCAGTGAATGACCACGTCTCAGTTCCACGTTTCACTGGCAACACGCACTGGTTGTACAGTCTCGTTTTCTAGTTTTGAGGTATACCTGACGATAATTTTGCTTATGAAGCATTAATTGCTACATAAGTTAAAAACAAATATAGTAAGAAAATTAATTAATTATCCAATATCAAATTACAAACCACTCAAGTTTATTTGAAACGGAAACCCCAAACTAATCACGCTGGAATGTTATTAACTTATTTTGTAATTGCTCATTTTTGGTTGATTTGAAATTACACAGTGTAATGTCATAAAGAAACTGAAAAATTAAATGTCAAGTACAAGTTATAGCAATTTTAATTGCTGATAAAAAATATAGCATAGTTATTTAATAAAATAATCAAGCCAGCTTAATCACAACTAAGCAAATATCCGTTATTATCCTATTAGTATAAAATACAGTATAGCTCGACGAACCGACAACCGATGGAGAAGAAAGTTTCTATAGCGGAGGCCTCGTATCGGTGAGCAATGTATAGGAAGAGCCCTACTAGATGAAGTGGCGACCTGGTAAGACAGTAAGATGACGATTGTAGATGGTTCAAAACCGTTATTTCTGGAATTACTTGAGCGAGACCTATGTATGTTTAGCAGTGAACTTGTGAATGATGATGGCGATGATAAAAAAGCGGCAAAATAAAAGGATAGTAAATAATCAAGTTCATCACTTGTGATGAAAGTAGATTCTGTATGATAATTAGAAAAAATTGTTGCAATGGTTAATGCAGTCAAATGTTGTCCAAAGCCCAAGTTGAGTCGGAAAAAACTGCTTGTAAATGTATAGTTGACCAAGGCCGGCATTATTCGTTTGATTACTTTAGTGTTACACTGTCAAGATTTGCAAACGCTTATAGACAGGCTTCCTATCGAACAACCGAGACTTGTGATTTGGACTTATCCAATACTTCCGTACGGCAATACTCATTCATACATTTGCGCAACAGACAGACTCAAAATTTAAGGAGCGACTTCAAACTCTATCAACTGCCGTACCAAAGACTTTGTTGCTACTGATTTTTTTTTTAATTTGGACAATATTTCAAAGGAATTTTCAAAGGAAAACAAAAAAAATTAATTTGAACTTTGATAAGGCAGCGAATCTTTAAAGAATTCGTCGATTCCTTGGCCCTAGAAATTTTATAATCAGTTATAGAAAAATTCTATGATGTATATATGAACTGTGATTCAATTTTTATGTAAAAGTGCATTAAAAATAGTAACTGATACTTATTAGATATCATATTATACAATGTTCGTTATACATTATTCGGTATAGTTATATTGTGTGCTACTGAACTAAAATACTGAATTTTTCTATGTAGACGGCAAGTTCAAAGGATCTAATGTCAGAGAGATCTGAGCATAACACTTTTCGTAGCTTACTAACAAAATTTTATATTATAATAAAACCTACCGTTTAGTGGCCTTGTAAGTATATCGACTATGCCATATCATCCCGTGGGTGTAGTTAGACGCGACAGAGGAAAACAAATCAGGAAATGGGCATCAGCGTTTTCCTAATAACGAATAAAAAAAAACTGCAGTAATAATGACTATGAGGGAGCCTACGTTCAATTATGGACTTTAATAGCCTGTAACGGGAATCGAATCAAACTTTATAATACTTGCGGAAGAAACCCCAGTTTATAATGTTGATAAGTTCTTACTAGTCTTATAATAAAATGGTATAAGTGTGTGCAGTTTTACAAGCCAATAAAGTGTATCTATTGAATTGACAGCTCTGTTATTGATACTCTATGAAATAAGCATCGCTCGGTGGCCGCGGCCGTCGATGCGATATCTGTAGCCGACGGATGTGTCTCGGGATAGCATCTCATTGCTTCCGCCCATTTATCTGCCAGTCTCGGTATCCCCGTCCCTCTCTACTGGATCCCTTTTGGTTACCGATAGCAACATGCAAACATTTCGCTAGAAATTGACAAGTGTAACTCTGTCATCTCAATGTGTGTAACAGTGCTGTAGCGTAAGGTGGTGTTTTTGTCTCTGTCAAAGAGTTAAGATGGAGATATAATATTATTGCTTGTAATATTAATAAAAAGACAATCTGACAATTTCAAGTCAAAATGCACCTTATTATTTTTTTTTTGGAGTTTATGGCCTGGTATCTAGACCTTTAGGCCAAGTCTTAAGTATTTTTATTCGGTTTATTGTAATTTCCTCACTCCTTCATAGTATACTGCTTCACAATATGTTGATGCGTCACATTGTGCAGTTCTTGGGAGATTTTGGCGGCAACTTGATCCAGCAGACAGCTGATAGTTGGCGATGGTATCTAAAGGTGCCTATGCAAACAAACAGCTTATCTTGAGAATCCATTACCATCAGAGCACTTGTTTCACTGTTTCCACTAATAGTTCACATGCGTAGACACTTAATACACAAAATCGCAACACTTTTACATATCAAAGTCCACTTCAAACCATTATTTAAACCAGCAGCAAACCGCCGCCGGTCAATTTCCCGCCAAAACCTCCTGCACCTTATTATTTACACGACTTTACCAGATTATCTATAATACGTATGTGCTCCTTTTTCTGACATAGTTTGTAGGGAGTTAGAAAAAAATATAATTTCTGAATTCAAATTCAAATTCAAGTTATTTATTTCAGATAACATAAGATCCATATCATTGAAAAACATTGATTAATTGATAATAAAAATAATAATATGTCATTAAAATACATTAAAATACAATTAAAATACATTGAAATACAAACAAAATACATTAGAATCAGAATACAATAAATACAAATTACACATAATTATTAATAATACCCTCTCACTCCCACAATTACAGGGAATTAAGGAACTCTATCTATTTGTCAGAAATTAAGAATAATACTGCGAATAGGAAAGGTGTGTTCAATCAATCAATCAATTAATATATTATTTATTGTACACCAATACACATTAAAACAAGACAAAATAAAATATATATTTCATTTACGTGGTAAAGCCATGTTGCAGCTATATTGGTAGTATAGTTGTAGCACGAATGGTTCGGCTCGACCGGGGAAGGACCACGCTCTCACAGAATACCAGCGTAAAATAGCAGCTTAACGCTACTGTGTTTCGTATGGTGAGTGTAGAGAACCGGATACCCTTTTTACTGAAAACGAGGCATTCCATCTCAGTCCTCACATTTGGATTCGTAATCCAGGATAGATGTAGATATTTATGGTTCTATGGACCACAGCAACCACTTACCACCAGGTGGACTGTGTGCTCGTTTGTCACCCTATCCTATAAATATAGAGATACAGAAAGCACAACAGGCGGTCTTATCGTTCTGGAAGCGAATTCTTCCAGACAACCCTTTTCTGCAAAGAACTAATGTTTACAGTGAATTGCGAATAGGGATGTTGTACATAAGTTTGACAATTAAGTAAAAAAAAAATACAAGACGATCACAGTCGAGGATTTGATTATGTTTGTGTCTGCATAATAAAAAGATTAATAGCGGCATTATCTATAGGGGCAATGTAAGAAACTGTATTAACATTTTGTTCTGTGGGTGTCGTAAGGCGCAACTGTGAAAAAGCTAGAAATACCTAGGGTTGAGCCACGCGGCAGCCTTTGCTGTCGCACAGATGGGCCGGCTCGAACCGGGGTGGTACCACGACCTCACAGAATACCAGCGTGAAGTAAAGGTTTACCACTGCGTTTCGCTTGGTGAGTGCAGGTGGCCGGAAGCCCTTTTTACTAAAAATGAGGCATTCCATGTTAGTCCTCACGGGTGACAACGCATCTGCATTTTGATTTGTAATAGAGGATATATATATATATATATATATATATATATATATATAATATGGGCCGCAGCAACAAATTACCATCAGGTAGACTGTATGCTCGTTTGTCACTCTTATCCTATAAAAAAAAGACCCCCGGGGCCTCCGAAATGGCAGTTTATCATCTTATATATTTTGAATATACGAGTACTTAAGGTGGTGAAGAAGAGCAGCATCAAAGGTGCGTTGCGCCAGCTACTGCCATCGCCACAGCGTGACGATTATGGTGAATTTCTAACTTCATTAAACGGTAAAGGCTTATGCCTCGTGAACTTTTATGATCTAAATGGTGAAGTTGAATATATTCACAGACATACACCCATTTTAAGCTATATGATTTTTTTTAAGTAAAACTCCTGTGTGATATCGAAAGAGA